CTTGATACTATATATCTATGGATATAATGTATCTGATTGATGACTAGCCTTAATCGAAAGTTCTCTCTCGTGATCGGGAGGGGTAATTAACTATAGGGGCTTGCGCCTATAGGAAACCAGAACTCAGATCATAAAGTCCTCGCAAAATGAGGGCGAAATCTCTGGGTAGTATCTTATCTACAAACCCATCTGCCTTCCAAAATTTACCCCGGAACTTAGTTCGTTAAAACTCCCTCACCGAATAAGAAAAGCGAGCGGAGGCCGGGGCCGAATTTTCGGAGCCCACATATTCATCTTGCAAAATTTTTAGGAATTATTTCTATAAATGATTTAAGGCTCTTTCGGACAAAGAAATCTAATAACCACACACAAGAGCTACAATAAAATGATCAGATCCGACCATCTACATCTTCGAGGCCACACTTTTATTAGATCAGACCTGCGACAAAACTTGGAAAAAAATATTAAATTCTCCGTTGAAATTAGAGCTATTGTGCCTGCCCCCTACTAGTCCTCCAGAGATGGTTGTTACTACTACAAACATTACCATTGATTCAGACCCACCTATTCCTGCAACATCTCACCTCTCTCCAATTTGTGAACACAATGATGGCAAAGATTCACATCAGTCTTTTGTAGTTTCCATGTTACTAAGATTTCATATTATAGACTATCATGCTAGCTTCATATTGTCTATTGTAGTTTTCTTTTTTTACTGGCAATAATCGGTAATCACCCTTACGATACTCTCATATCTTTTTCTAATCAAGATATTTTGTTTAAGAAAATATACACCACCAATGCCCATAATGTTTTTTGCCCATATTGCATACCTTTCCAAATTATAGCCACCCATAGTCCATAGAACTTTAATTAAAAGGAACAACTCCCTCAAGAAAATCCTAAAGAAATTAAATTAAAAAATATCAGTTTAAAAACAAAGGAAACATACTATGATTGGACGGCTAAAAAATGGTGATGTATCTGCAATGATGGCTTTTTGCATTTCAGCATCCCTGCCAGCAGTGTAGATTACCTAGAAAACGCATCAAAAGAAAAAAAGATTCAGTTGTACATGGACAATGCAAGATGATTCAAATTTCATATTGCATAAATGGTTTCAGAAGAATAAAAAAAACATCAATACTAATTTATTCATTGTTATTGTAATAACTAAATAATCATTAACTTGTGGAAATTACTTACAACAATAACATGGTTCTTCTTCATATAGACACTAGGAGGAAGAACATGGGAAGTGGTCAGTGGCTGCACTAGTTTAAATTACATAACCTGTCATTGTCTTCCGGTGGCTGATAATCAAGATTGGTGAGGATAGTGATTAAGAATGTCTATTAGATGTATTAGGAATTACTTTTTTAAAATGTTCTTTCTTATTTTTATGAGGGTTATTATGAAATAAGTCCCTTCTGATAAACGGGCTTTTTCTATAAATAACAGTTTGTGCTCTAGAAAAAACTAATTATAATGAGTTGGGCAAAAAATAAATTTCTAGTCACCAACGTGTGGGCTAGCATATTTTCCCCTGTGCTTTGAGGAACTAATAAAAATTGGTTAGAATTCAGCAATTCAGATGCTAGAAGGATTCAAAATCTAGAAGTTCAGGTTTCGTAGTATTGTTCCTTTATCTTTTTTCTTATGTTCTCTAAAGAAAATTTCTATTGAATCTTCCTACCCAGCATCAAAATGACATCAGAGTATAAAATTTTCATTTTTGCAGTTGAATTCAACTAACGTTTGTTGTTTTTACACTTCTTTCATCAGCTTCCTATAGTTTTGCACCTATACTAGTTTCCTACATTTTCTTAGGAATTTTTTGTTGTTGTTGCTGTGTTCTTAGGAATTATTTGTTCAACAATTTCAAAATTATTTGTAATGTTAGGAACTATTTGTTTGCTTTAAAAAATATATATATTTTTTTTTACTAGTTATTCACCCATATTATTTAGTAGATTTACTTTCATTTAAATATTTATATGTATTACAATTTATTAAATGATAAAATAGAGCAACATAAGCAATACAATCTCACATACACTTGCACTATCTAAAATAGCCTCGTATTTCAATTTGGAGTTAACTTTAACTCTTATTTTAGGTCTTGAGACTAAAATTAAATTAGATCAGTTTTTAATAGTCGAGGGACTAAATTGGGGCAATGCGGAACTTTGAGACTAAATTGAACATTTTTTAGTAGTTGGGGGACTATTTTGAGCTTTTACTCATAAAATAGTGCCAAGACTTTGCAAAATGAATTTAATAGATTTTCTTCATGTTTCAATAAGCAGAATGAATATGATAAAAAATAACTTATCCCACGAATATTCTACGAAGGCTTAGCTTCTAATCACCATTGTAGATGTAAAGCTAGAGTTCTATCATTTTTTTTTGCAATGATTCGAACCCAAGATATGAAAGGCAATGCCATTCAACACGTTGTTGATGGTAAGATAATGTTTGATTTAGTCAGATAATTCACAAGAATACAAGTATAGCAAGATCACAAAATATAGTACAAGAAGATTATCATTATTATCAAACAAAAATAAGATATATTCTATTCAAATAAATTGGGAGGAGGCTCATAAGAGACATGAGATTTTTTTATTTTTTTTAAGAGACATGAGATATATATTACTCCACACATGTTTAAAAGTATTGCATACCGTATCTCCTTTGCCCAAGAAAAGCTTGGCAACCTCAATTCCAGCCTGAAGGAAAATTCAAGGGGCATAAGTACAAAAGGGTCAAAAATTATTTTTTAATGGTACAAAGTATAAAGAGAAGTCCCATCAATGCATTCCCCAAAATGAAACCAACTGAGAAGTACAGAAATCACAAACAACTGGGTTTGATGTGATCATAAAAAACTTCATCGTCAAAAAAACAAAATCCTTGTTTTATGACTATCTTTATACAAACTTCCACAAATTTAATTTTAAATCTTCGCATTTTAAATTTTAGGAGTCAGGTAGGTACATTCTTTAAAATGTCATCCTATCATGAAATTATTTTACGTTGTGCTCAATAATCTTCTTTGGGGTTTTATTGTGGATTTATGATTCCTTACTATCACAATCTATGACCCTTTCTTATTATTATCTACGACTTTCTTACAAATCTACTAACTCATAGGATTCCAGTTGTTGATCCTTCGGCTACTCTGCACTAATTGTCTCCTTTATTTCAGCTGATATATGGCCCACTTTATTGTTGTTGTTGAATTCTCGATTGATCAATTGTACCCAAGTTGATCTATGGGATCTCTATTGTTGACAAGCAACTCAATTTTTTTATTTATCTTCCCTATTTCTGAGCCAACTAATCCACAATTTTCTTTTTACCAGGGATGCTATGACCCAAAAATTAACGGTTTTGGCAGCACATTATAACAAAGAATGGTTGAAATATTTCTATGATCAAGTTTAGTCCTAAGTCAATGGAAGGGATTTCAATTATTGTTGTAATTATAAATATGGTACTATTGGCTGTTAAATTAATTTTTAGTTGAATGTATAATTCCATCTGTGGGGATTTAGTTCTATGATCAAGGATGAGATTTCAAGAGTAACAAGAGAGATTGTCTATAGTTTAAGGTTTTTTCATAATAGCAACTATAATTAGAACTCAAACATGAGGGTATTTTGATAGATAAACAAAGGAATGCAATTTAAAATTTTGCAAAAGCTTAATTGTTGAATAAACAAGATAAAATAAGGGATGATAGAAATCGTGTAAGAGAAAGAATTTAATTTTTGGTATTTGTTCATTCTAAACCCATTGAACAAGAAGTTGCTTTTAATCTTACAGAGGAATATGAATCAAAATGTTAATATAGGTAAACGAAAGGAAATCAAATGGATAGAAATACTCAGATAATAAACATTAGAGATTATGTGATAATGACATCTGTGGAAATAATTGATGTCAGATGTATGATTTGAATGATGAAATACCAAAGAAAGTAGAAGTTAAAAACATCAAAATTTTAAGGGAGAATAGATCCAAAGGTTTTTTATGATTGGATTATGGATAAATCTTTCTAATGGAAAATTATGCCTAGGGGAATCAAACAAAATCTGACAAGTTAAAATTAGTCGGGCAAACTAAAATATATTTGATAAGCACGTAAGAACAATGATAACGGCTTAGTAGAGAACCTATAACAACTTGGAATAAGGAATTGGATGAGCTATTAATGCAAACAAAGTAAAACCATTACAAGTACGTCTAGGTCTAAAATTTCAATAAAAGCATATTTAAATGAGTCAAACAGGTCATTATGCCAATGAATATCCAAGTAAGGATTTATATATTGATTTAGAGTATAAGGATGATAATAAATTAATGAAAGAGATGATATTTGTGAATTCAATAAAAAAAATATGACTTTAATTTTGATTATAATATTCTTTTACATGTTAAAACATGCATTAAAGTTACACCTAATTCTAAAATAATTTTGTATTTCAAACTTATTTTAAGAATGCATATAACATGCATAAGCCTTTCATGAACAATGGAAGTTGTATAAATGTTGTAAATACTTTGGCTATTAATCACATGAAATTAAACCTAAGCCAAGAGAATCTAGTGCTCCCAATAAGTTTATTAAATCGACAAGCTTTTGATAAAAAAAATAAAAAGAGTAATTAATACCTTAGTAGTTATAGAATTTAAGAATAATAATGCTTGATCTTGAAAATAGTCAAGGTTAATCATATACCATGGTCATCTAAATGAACTACAATACTAAGAAGAATACAAAATTGCTTAATTTATGGATTATTTTTACCTAATGTTTCACATTATACGAATCAAACTGACCAATTTGAATCTAAAAGACAAGTTTATGGTTAATTGAAAAAAGGAATTCATCAAGAGAGATGAAGTCCCAATGCAGCTCCAAGGTTGCTTACACCTAAGAAATGTGGAGTTAGCATATGTCAAGCAAAAAATTATCGGTGCTCATGCACTTAAAATATTTGAGACGCCTAGTTTCCCTTCAGATGTATGTACCGAGATGTGTTAAGTCAAGAAATGCATCCTGCATGTTTATTGGTGAGAAATTTGAAATAAACCACAAAAGTATTTTAACAAAATTAAAAAATTTATGCATTAATACAAGATCTTAAATATTTGAGATAATAAAGAGTACATGAATAGTTTGTTTTTAATTATGACAGCAATGAACTTAAATATCTAAATACACAAAAAAGTGAATAGAAATACTACATGGGTTGATAAATTTATAAAAATATACTAGTATGGATAAACATTATTTTACGGTGAAAAACAACTAGCTAATATACATGAAGTGGGGTATCTGTTATCTGACATATAATGAAGAAAAAAGTGATTGGCTTTGAATATATAAAAAATAATAATATTACTTGTCAAGATCTTGATGAAATAAATGATACATTAACTAATGAATTGCTTATGCTTAAAAATAAAATTTCATAATAAGAAATGGGTTGTGTTCTCGATTCTTTCTTGAGATGTTTTCCTATTCTAGAATTACATGTTGGTGGTCCTATAAATTTCTTTGATAGAAATAAAACAATAGTTATGAAAAGGAAAAGTATTATTGGCCCTTTTTCCCGTGGATATAGATAGTATAGTGCCCCAATGCAAAATTTGCCAAATAACATAGGATTAAAGAAATAATATTGGATTATGTACTTTCCTACACTCTTTATAAGCCTTGCAAAGATGTTAGTATCAATTTTCTTCAAAGATTTAAAAAAACTTATAGGTACCAGGACTCCATCTTGGTATAAGTGGATCATTTTCCTAAAGCGGCACATATTATTCCTTATGAAAAAAGTGTTATGCATCTCACAAAATTAAATTATATTTTAATGAAATTACTGATTTTATGTGGATTACCTAAATTTTTTAATCCAAAAAAGATGTTAAATTTTTAGATATTTAAAGTCTACGAAAAATATTAGAAATCCAGATAAAATTTTAGCATTGACAAATTGATGAACAAATTAAAGACATTAATCGAAGTATGGCCACTATGTTATAATCTTTGATAAGTGGGCATACATCTAGTTAGGATTCGATATACTTATGATTGAATTTAAAGACAATTCATCTACCGAATAAATTTACAAGCACAAGTCCATTTGAATCAATTATTGGATTTCAACCCACAAAACTTACACCTTAAATCTAGGCCTAATGAATTTGCACAATTATTCATACAACAGATGAAGAATTTGCATGAGGGAATTAGAAGAAAACTTGTTAACTAAGGAAATTATAAGTCATTTCTATATGTATACAACAGACAAGTAGAATTCAAACAAGACATTAAGATAATGAAATGCAACCATTAAAAACTAAATTGCTATAGAAATAGGATCATATATAGCTATATAATGTATTGGGATGAATGCTTGAATATTGGTTAACCAAAAAAAAAAAAGGTATTAGCCTAGTTTTTAATGCTCATATATGCCTTCATATCATGAATTATTAACCAGTTATGAGTAAGGCATGTATTAAACTATTTCCAAAATCTGTAATGGATGATGAGACTATATCGACTATTGATCATGGATATCAATATTTTTTATGCATTGGCAATAAAGCTATGCATGTAATAACTCATGGATATCTCTACAAGAAGTGCAATAGTTGTCCTAATCTACTTGAATAATATCATTGAATGAGTTTGAGAGCAGAACTTTTCTAAGTGATCAAAACTGATGTAAATAAAAATATGTAAAGTTACTGAAAATGCAAAATATTTGTCATGATCACAGTTTTCAAGTATAAACTTCTACATTTTAGATTTTTTTCGATACTAATTTTATTCATGCATGTGGTTTTTTTAATCATTATTCTACTTGCTCATTTCTAATAGAAAGCCAAAGGTCTTTTATCAAAATTGATTTCTAAAAATGAATAGTGTCTGGGCCTGAATTTTTATAGATGAATAAAAAATAAAAGATTGGAACAGTTTCTGGACCGGAAGCATAACAGCATGGAGCAGAAGATTGACTTTTTTCCAGGAACTGTTATACATTGAAAAGCACACAGACTGAAATAACAGACCTGCACAAGGCCACCGAGATTATCTCTGAGATCCAAAACCAGGTAGGAAACACCATAATCAAGGAGGTTTTTCAATGCTGTCAATAAAGATAGCATCATGTGAATCGATACTTCAATAAAAGTAGTCACAAATAAAAGAACTCAGAGATATAAATAGAGGCAGCTACTTGCACAAAAAGAAAAAAAGATACAGTTGAAATTTTCCATCTATGCATAACCAGAACAAAAAAGGATTTATACGTCATGTGTAAGCCTTCGTTTGGGACAGCTTCTTTGACGCTTTCTAAAACGGCTTTCTAATACAAAAATTTTTCGAATTAGAAATTTTAGTACTAAAAAGTAGTTTTATAAAGTAGTAAAAAAGCTGTCTCAAATGAAGCCTAAGTCACATTGACAGCTTACATCCATTTGCAGTCAACATTAGGCCATTTTAGTTAATTTTCTATGTTCGTACAATCAAGCAATTATGCAAAACAAAAGTAGGAAAAAGGGTCATTAGAGAATGTCTTGATAATAGTTAGCTTTTGAATAACAGCTTTCACAATTATTCAAGGGCAGTACATAGAAACTCACAACAAAGCTGGCAAATTATGTTTATGTTCATTATCATATTTCTAAGATAAATTAGATGCAGTTCCTTCAAGAATAGACCATGCTTCACAATGGCCTGTGTTTTAAAAAGATTGCATTTAGATCCCTAGCACATTTTGATATCTTCAAGAAAGAGCCTCTCAATTTATGATCTTCAAGTGGGCACACAGGGTAACAATGTTAGCCAAATTCGGTTGATTCCGAGAAAGTGATCATTCAAGCAACCTATATGTGAATATTACACTTTTTTTTACCATAATACCCTTCCCAGATTCTTAAAATTCCGAAACTTTGTTTTGGATGAAAAATCTGGTGAAGAAAAAAAAAAGCAAATATCAGTAGATTAGGCTATAAATTGGACACAAGAAGTGATACGTCATCACAAAATTATCTTGATTGGGCACGAATCTCGAGGCAAAATCAGTTCGGAAACTTCAAAAATTAAATTCGAGAGCATATGAACTCCGATTTAAGCGAGCTTATAGTCAAACTGAGCGTCTCGGAAATATGAATCCAACGACACCAAATTCGACCCAATCCGAGCCCAAATGAGTCCGAATCAAGGGCTCAAAGCGCTGTCGGAAGGTTCAAACCACAATTTGAGTTACCAAACGGTCTCCGATTTTGACGAGCTTCTACTCGAATCGAACGGCTCAACGAGCCCTAGATCGCCGAATTCCAACATCATTAAGGCCTTCAAATGTCCAACGAACGGTGCATGATCAAAGGATTCGATATCGGCCGTCCATTCAAAACACTCCCAATTCGCCCCTGATCTCACGCCTATTTATGGGCTATGCCACTCCAGAAAAACTATAAATAGAGTTATCATTCTACACCAAAGGGGCTCAAGTGAAGAGAGAGAAGAAGAGAAGAAGAGGAGAAAGGGAAAAATGAGAATCATCTCCTCCTCGACCACCGCCGAAGCTCTTCCTGCCGCCCGAACACGCCGGGATTCTGCGTGATATTCGGGAGAACGCAAGAATTCTTCCCTTCCACATGATGCTGAAATTCTTCCCAATTTGCAAAAGAGTTCCCTCCTAACGCCGAAACTCCGCCCAAGTGAAGCCGGAGTTCACTTTTGCCACCAACAGACGTCAGACTTCTACCCGTCGTCGAACCTTCACTCTTCGCCAAGTTTTCTACCCGACGCCAGACTTCTACCGGTTATCGGACTTCGCTGGACGTCTACGCGAAAATGGATTTCTTTCCATTGTTGGACTTCTACCTGACGCTGTCCTTCTGATCTTTGTCATCAAACTACAGTCCTTCTGGCCTCCGTCGCCAGCCGACTACGGTCCTCTTGACTTACGTCGCCCGCCGACTACAGTCTTTTCGACATCCGTCGCTCGTCGACTACGGTCCTCCTGACTTATGTCGCCCGCCGACTACAGTCTTTCTGACCTCCATCGCCCGCCAACTACGGTCCTCCTGACTTACGTCGCCCGCCGACTACAGTCCTTCCGACCTCCGTCGCCAGCTGACTACGGTCCTCCTGACTTCCGTCGCCCGCCGGCTACAGTCCTTTCAACAAAGCGAATATGTCAAAAGTAGCTATTTGTATTTACATCATGTAATGTACTCTATAAGATGTACATCAAGCTAAGGCCTTCTCCCAAGGAAGGGCCTCATTTGTAATCGACTGCAAATACTAGTGGATTCGTTCAAACTGGGCTAGGCCCCGTGGTTTTTCCCCCTTTTTCAGGGGTTTTCCACGTAAAAATCTTGGTGTCTTATAAATGTTAGACCCTCTCTCCTATCTGATTGCGTGCCGGATTTTCGTACAACGCTAAGACGATAAACTTTATATTTCTCTACCGCCGCGAATACTCCTGGATGCAACAAGAAGAATGAAACATACTTTGAGGATGAAAATAAAATCAATACACGAAAAAAAAAAAGCTAAAAGATTTAAAATGCTACAATGCAAATCAAAATCCTAAATATCTTAAACAAATAATTCATAAAAAAATCCTAGGAATGCTAGTTTGAAAAAAAAACCTTAAAATGACATAATAAGAAAAAAAAAGAATGAGGAAACGAACCATCGAAACTATCTCAAAAAGAAAAAAAAATCGAAACTAAGAAAAATTATTTCCATGCGACAAAAATTCCTAAAATGCAAGAGATAATGTTGGGAGTACCTATGAAGTTAGTCAATCCTGCAACCTTAAGATTCAAATGAAGTCATGGGAGTCACCTCAAGATGAAGCATGGCAAAAGATGAAAGGTTCTCAAGTTGAAAGTCACATGTCAGTTCAATAAGGTCCTTTTTTTAAAAAAATGTGATTTTATAACTTCAAAAATGATACGAGTACAACAATGGAAATAAACAAGAATGGTTAGAGAAAGCCTAAAATACATAAGACAAAATAGCTATGGCAAGAATCTTAAAACTACATAAGACAAAATAACTATAGCATGAATCTCAAGTATCCATCAGATCTTGAAAATCATTCATTTGAACCATCTTACTTGAAGCATGGTAAAAAGAAGAGAGTGATGATAGTTTTTTTTTTATTTATTCCGACCTTGTCTAATAAAGAGTATATGAACCTACTATCCGCTCGAGCATCATCACTCAGAATGCACCAATCAAAGTCAAAAATATGTTGTGAATCATGATCATTAGTGTTTTCACCAATAAGTGGAAGATGTGGAACTTTAAGAATAGGAGGACCAATATTCATGCTATTGTTTGTAAGTAATACAACAACAACAACAAGCCTTCATACAACTATGTAGGGTCGGCTACATGAATCTTTTTTCTTCCTCGTGTCCAGCTAATAGTCAAATTCTCATTTAGATCTAATAAAGAAATGTCATTTCTAGTATTTTCTAACCAAGCCTTTTTAGGTCTACCTCTATCTTTCTTAACATAAGTTTTTGTTTGTAAGTGATGTAGAAAAAAAAAAGTAGGGCTAGTAGGGTAGGTATAACATGTTCAGAAATTCAAGGAAAATTTTATTGGTTCCTAATTCTGAGTACAAATCTGAACTGATGAAGAATAATCAGCAAATACTCTGGGAGGAAGAAGGATCTGAAATTTTGAATATACCTCTTGAGCATGAATGTTTGATTTTCTTAGATCTGGATGAACCTCGAAGCATTTACATTAAAGCCCAAAGTTAAGAAAATAATATAGGGTATTTTAGGTATTAAAAATATTTTTAATAGAGAAATCCAGATAGTAGCCGAATTTTTGTATTAACAGGATGAGAATTCTACAATATTAACAGGATGAGAATTCAGCAACACACGCTCAACCTAGTTCTTCTAGCTTTTCATCAGTATTAAGAACATGCAAGAGCGTTCCAATTCAACTCAGGATTACAAATATAAAGCATGTCATCGCAGCACTTTAAACAGGACTTGAAATAAGAAACAGATCCAAAGGAGATTGCTTACTAATTCTTCATTTAGTAGATTGCTAAAGAAAATAAAATCTATATTAAAAATAAATAAATTTCCAGATTTTTCGAGAATGAAAAAGGAAATAAAATAGTAACAAGCTTAAATATTCACAAATACATTAGCATTTGATAACTAGAAGAATCTAAATTTTGCAGACGTTGAAAAAGCCTAAGTTGAAATATACCAGTAATTAAATCCTTTCTTGCCAATGCATTAAACTCCTTTATGTGTACATATCCAACAGGAACATTTCCCTCCCCCATTTTCTCTAGACGATAAAATATTGGAGTTCGTGCAACATTTTGCCTTTGGATTTTAATAGAATGGGCCAGGCCACAATCTCCATGCCTGACCTACATACAAGCACAAAATTAAAGTTGGGAAGATCATAAAATTCAATGGTACTCTGTAAATAGCTCTGTGCATGATTTTTTGCCAGCTAATTTGAAAAACAACCTCAACGGTTACAAATGTTTCTTTTGGACCTTGTAGCATAGAGGATACTTCAAATGCAGATTTCCCCTTGATATCAAGTCCATTGACAGATAAGAGCTCATCTCCCTGTATAATTAGATATTTTAATTATCATAGCACTTTAAATTCTGAAAAGATTTTCATGCATGGATAACTTGAAAGTAAATCAGCACTTTAAGGCTTCGTTTGAGACGACTTTCTTCTTGCTTCTTAAAGCAGCTTTTTAGTATAAAAATTTTAAGTTTGGTACTAAAAAACTACTTTAAGAAGCAACAAAAAAAGCCGTCCCAAACGAAGCCTAAATCTCCATTTTTCACTCTGCTGAAAATAAAGGATCAACTTGCAGAACTCATTTCAAATCTGCTTGTCTGCAGAAGTATCTATTCATGAGATGCTTATGCAGAGGACATGTAGCATAATATCGTGGGACCAAACAGAGGTAAGCGTGTAGAATTTTCGTTGCTACACAAAGAGTTCAAGATATCGACTTTTTTTGGTGCGGTCAAGAAGAAAAAAAAAAGTTTTTGCAATGAAAGGTATTCATGCTGTGGAAAATAAACAGCATCAATAAGTAAGATCTCGTTTACCTGTTTTACGCCAGCAGAATGTGCTGGGCCATCCAATATAACACCTAAAACTTTGATTTTTGCAACACCGTTCTCATCAGGAACTTCTCTAAGATTAATGCCAATCCCAGTCACATCATACTTTGCCATCTTGGAGAACTTTTCATTAAAAAAGAAGTACCGCATGCATGAAACAGGAAAAACTGTAGCTTTTGTTATACATATTGGAAAAAATCAAGGGGAAAAGAAGTAAACACCTGCTACACCCGTATTAGTTTTAAAAATTTGCAATAACACAAGCATTTCAGAATCCAGTCACATAGCATCTGCTCATAAATCGTACTCAATCAATCAGTCAATATAAAAAGCAATAAGAACCGTGAAAAAATCCAGTGTTGTTAATACAACGACAAAAAATTATTTAAGTCGACATTTCATAGTTTAGGTTGAAAATCACATAAGTATGCATGGACAAGGATTTTGGAAGCACAATAAACCATATTTACATATATCATCCACAAAAAGAAAATTTTCAGGCAACCTTCAGTTATGATAGATGTAAAGAGAATGATGTAAGACTGATAAAAGTCTGAGATTTCTAAAGCAATGTATGATAAGATGTGATTTTAACACAAATGAATTCACAATATGCAGCTTGCTAATTCATAATTGCAACAAACTTGTCATTTTTAATGTAAGGAGATCAAACACACTTTATTTGTTCAAAAAAATAATTTAACAATGATACAAAAACCAAAATTTCAAAAGAAAATTATTAATGAACATATAATTTCAGCAAAAATCAAATTCACGCTTCAAAGATAAAATATGATAAGAATCTCACTTGACAGAATTATAAACATACAAGCAAAATCAGCGACTAAATAAACTAAAAGACTAGGATAAGGATAGAAATCACCCCAAATGAAGAAAAAAAAAAACAGACCTCAAGTTAGTCCAAAACATTTCCCCTGAAAGTAGTTGTCCACACATGTGAAGCATTAAATAATACACATCCAACAAGTAAACACATAAGAAAGAGAAAAATAAGAGTTGTATTTCAATATTCACCACTCAATATTTTATTTGCATATCTCTTGGAACTACTTATAACCTTCAAATGACCAAAATAGAAGATCGAACAATTTCGATCAAGATCTCCTCAAACAAATGGCTTCAATGCATCCATTAGGAATTCCAAAAATTTTCAGAAATTCCACTAGCGAAAATAAGAAACAAATTATAATAAATAGTGAGGTGGCAGAAAGGTGAGCACATGACTGTAACTAGAAGCAATCAACAGCAATTAAATAAAGTAGCACAGTAACCCTACTAGAAAGTAATGAGTAAATAGCGGTACGATGATTTAGTCGGTAAGTCATTGTCAATGAGAAAGTCCAGAGGTGGCAACAGCACAAAAGGAAAGAGGATAACTGTGAGAAAACATCAACAATAAAAGATATATGGGGATAACATATGGAATAGCAATGACATAATGGAGCTATAACAATTCTTAGTTAACTCCTCTAAAGTCCATATGTACGGATTGGAATTAAACAGGCTAAAGTTGAAACAATGCATTAATGATTTAGATCTAAAAATTTTTAAAATACCAGAGAACACATCTCATTTGCATGGGGACAAGATCACAGAAATATCTCACACATGAAAATCTAAAAAAACAAAATATAATGCTGCAAATCTTATACATTATCACTTTTTATGTTTGGACTCAAATCTACCTTTATATTTCCATAAAATTCGCCAGGCTTGAAAAAAATGGTTCTCATAAGCTAAGCATTTTATATTTCATCAAGCAAATCTAGACATAAAAATTTGGCTCTGACAAATTGGACATTTAATATTTCATTAAACAAATCTAAGCCTCACGAATGTTCTTCGTGCAACATAATCCACGATTCATCAAATGCTAGTTTTTCATGCTATAATGCAAGAAAAACCTCTAATATCAACCATCATCAACAACAACAACAACATCAAGCCTTTATCCCACTACGTGGGGTCGGCTACATGAATCCTTTTTCTCCATTGTGTCCTATTAAAAGTCAAATTCTACAACAACATCAAGCCTATAACATTTTCACGTATATGCTTATTTCGTATCCTATCTCTAAGGGTAAAGCCACTCATCCACCTGAGCATCCTCATCTCTCTACCACACTTAACTTAGTATTATGCTTCTCTTTTAATGGCCAACATTCGGTACCATAAAGCATTGCAGGCCTCACTACCATCTTATAGAATTTCCCTTAAGTTTGAGGGGTACAATTCTATCACATAACAAGCCCGATGCATTCCTCCACTTTAACCATCCAACTTGAATTCTGCTGATAATATCCCCATCTATTTCACCATCACTCTGAACAATAGATCCAATATATCTAAAACATGTACTCTTATTAATGACTTGATCGCCCAAAGTCACAATTCCCTCACTAGGTCTATTACTACTAAAATTACACTCTATATATTCCATTTTAGATCTACTCAAGCGAAAACCTTTAGACTCTAAGGTTGACCTCCATAATTAAAGTTTACCTTCAACTCCCTCTCTAGTCTTATCAACAAGAAGAATATCATCAGCAAAAAGCATACACCAAGGTACATCCTCTTGCAAATGTCTAGTGAGAACATCCATGACTAAAGCAAAAAGATATGGGCTTAAGGCTGATCCTTGATGTAACCCAACCGAAATAGGGAAATACTTGGTCAAACCACCTTGTGTTTGAACACAAGTAATAGCTCATGCATACATATCTTTAATGATTTGAATATAAGCAATATTGACTCCTTTCTTTTCAAGAACTCTCCAAATCACTTCTCTTGGAACTTTATCATATGCTTTTTCTAAATCAATAAATATCATATGTAGATCCTCCTTATTTTCTCTATATTTCTCCATAAAACCTCTTAATAAATGTATGGCTTCCATAGTCGACCTACCCAGCATGAATCCAAATTGATTTTGAGAAACATTAGTATCACGCCGCAACCTATGCTCCATAACTCGCTCCCATAGTTTTAAAGTATGACACATTAACTTAATACATCTATAATTCATACAATCTTATGCATCACCTTTATTCTTAAAAATAGGAATTAACACACTCATTCTCCACTCATCTGGCATCTTTTTAGCCTTCAAAATAGTATTAAAAAGTTTAGTAAGCCAAAAAATCCCTTCATCTCCTAAGCATTTCCACACCTCGATTGGAATATCATCAGGTCCAACAACTTTTCCACCCTTCATTTTCTTTAAAGCCTCTCTAACTTCAGTTTTACTAATACGCCGATAAAAACATAAATCTTTATTTTCATTTAAGGTGCTAAGGTCATTATAATCAATCTTATTTTCACAATCTTCATTAAAAAGTTTAGCAAAATATCTCATCCACCTTTGTTGAATATCTTCTAAGAAAAGTATTTTTTTATCTTCATCCTTAATAGACTTCACTTGAACTAAATCCTTACTACTCAAATCTCTTTGTTTGGCAAAATTATACATATATCTTTCTCCCTCAGTATTTAATCTATTATATAAATCACTAAAAGCTAATGTCTTTGCATCGCATATTGCTTTCTTAGAATCCTTACGAGCCACATAATATATTTCCCAATTATCATAATTTTTAAAATTAAACTAATTTTTATAACAAATATTCTTATTTTTAATCTTTTCTTGCACAATTGGATTCCACCACCAACTATTTTTACTATTAGGAACTTTTCCCTTTGATACTCCAAGCACATCTTTTTTAATATTCTTAATATCACTAGCCACTTTTTCCCACATAACATTAGCATCCTCATACACAGACAAAATCTTAAGATCTTAAATCTTACTCTCAAAAATATTTTTGTTAATATTCTTTAAATGCCCCCATTTAATCCTAGAAAAATGTTTTACTTTATTTTTTATTTTATGCCCCTTTATCTTAAAGTCCAAAATTAATAATCGATGTTGGGTACATAAATTTTCACTCAGAATATCAACCATCAACAGTGAAACAAAAATCTCATCATCCATAATAACTTCTGAAAAAAGCTTAATAAACCTATCTGGTAAGGTGTTGGGCATGCAATCAAAAAGAAGGGAGGGAAAGAAAGAAGATTCCAATATATTAATAGTAGATTCAAAAATAAAATCAAACCAAATACACTAAGGATAAGATTTATATTAGCACTTTTTTGGAATTTTTAATTTGTAATCACAAGTCCTAGTATATTGCGAAGCTTTATAAGGCTGTCTTTCTTGTACTTAATTTCTTAAAGACTTCTATATGATTTTTTTTGGGAATAAAGTGCAAAGGTAGACCTAAAAAGGCTTGGCTAGAAAGTATTAGAAATGACCTTTGTTTATTATATTTAAATGAGAATTTGACTCTTAATAAAAAATAATAGAAGAAAAGGATTCATGTAGCCGACCCTATGTAGTGGGATAAAGGCTTAATGTTGTTGTTGTTGAAAGTGCATCATTACCTTATCACCTGATTTGAATTTTATATATTTCCAACATACATTAACAACAAATTTATATTTTTTATAATTAATTGTTAGTTTTCTGCAAATAAATCCATGTGAATCATGCATATACACTTAATAAAATTTCAAGATAATTTCAAGTTGACCGGCAATTCCAAAATTGACTTGAAATTTACTCAAATACTATTCAAGTCAAGTTAAATAGGTCGAATCCGAGTTTAACAGGTTAATTTTGGGTTTAGCGGGTTGCATTAATCCAAACAAAATCGTATGATCCATAAATAAACAGGTTAAATGGGTTGGAGTTGGGTCAAGCATTTTGATTGTATAAAAAATAGATCAATTTGTGTCAAGCATGGTCAGATCAACTTAGGATTAGACCCGAACTCAACCAACAAACTTGAATTAACACCCCCATAAAGGATTATGCAAATTAACTAGATTTAGATTTAACAAGAAATTCAACAAGAGCTGAGTTTTCTACGCTGATAATATGTGATAACTTCAAAAAGACTTGTACCTAGGGAAAAATTATTCCGTCAGGTTACCTGACTTAGAGCTACATCAGGTAGCCTATAATATGTCGCCACGTGCATTTATTCTTTACCGCGCGGCCCGACGACCCGACCTGGAACGGACCCGGGAGTTTGCGTAGC